ACCGCCCGCACTTCTTGTTGCTCGCATTTATACTTGAAGGGTCTATAAACGGTGGTGTGAAAATGCCTGTAGGCACACCTAGCCAACCACTGTCTGTATATCGATGTGAGTGATGTGCAGGGTGTCCTGCAAGTACCACGCTGTAGAGATCCTTATTGACGGAATTCCAGCGAGTCGAAAAATTATGAATTTCCGGGAAGCTGATTCCCGAAAGCCGCAACTCTTGGACTGAGACTGAACCTGGACTGAGATATCCTAGGATGGCATCGTAAACAACGATGCTTGTACGATAACATGTTATTGTCTATCATGTGAGAACATGATGAAATACAGTCATCCATGATGACAAAATCCTAGCCTACTATCGAAAGCACTTATGCAAGGAGGCCTTCTCGTAATCTGCTCCACTGGCGGATGAAATCCTCTCCATCCAAATGGTGCGGAAGGTGTTCTACTGCGACCTGCGATTATTCGCAAGGGCCCCAAACGAAGGAAATGGCCAAATATTTTGTATTCCCTAGGGACCACACGAAAGTTTTTCAGACAGTACTAGGAAACGGTGACTATCATGCAGGCGCCTGGAAGAGGAATGGCCGGCTATTCTACCGAAAGGGTGACGAAAACATTCCATCCCCCAATGGACAACATCCACACCCCATAAGAGAAATGGCAGAGGAGCTGGGCGAACAGAAGTTCCGATGGGACACGTGATCAGTGGAAGGCTACAAAACCGCTCCTACTTTAATATATGCAGAAGTGCCGTCTTATTTCCGATATAGTAAGCAACAGAGGATCGAAAGTAGCTGGAGGTCGCTTACCCGTTCCAGCTTAGACACGCATTTCTCTCTCCTTTCTTCATAACACATTTTCACTATTAAGCAGATCCCAATATCCAGAATAGCTGCGTTCGGCCAGAAACGTCGTGAATTGCCCCGCGAGGAAGCATTGCTTGCAGATCACCGAACTCGGTTCCAGCATTGGTTGAAAAAGCATCACGTCCAGTGGAAAGAGGCCGCCCTTTTTTCGTACATCAGAATTATCAAACCTGTACAAAACACGTCTAAGATAATCACCCAACCTTTGCGGGAATGAAAGTTTGAAATGAAACATCGCTAACGAACATAGGAGGTGCTCACAAAGCCAAAATCCCAAGTCAAAATGCTATCAAGCCAGTTAGTCTGCGCCTGTTGCCCTCACAAACGAAATATGTTAGCCCAAAACCCCTTTGAGAAGGAAACAGAAGGCCCAACGCTGGCAGCGGCGAGTAATGCGCAAACGAGTGCGAATTTCTAATAACTGAATCACCAAACGCTGTTACGCCCTGGTCTTCAGCCTCAAATGACCTGCGCCGCATTAGAATAGGCCACCTTAATCTGAAATTAAGACCTCAAACAGGATCCTTCCAAAGATCCGTTGCGCATGTCGTGCGAGGTAGACTCCCTGAAGGGGCGAGGCTAAAGAAACAAGGCCTGGGGGAAAAAAGACATAAAAAGAGAACGAAAAGGTCAAGCTACCTGGGCAAACTTGTCTAAAACAACAGTCTGCGACACATGGAAAGAGACCAGCGCAAAGACTCTCTTGACTCATTAGTACGTTGTCGGCGAGTCAAGATATTGTCCCCGTGAAAACCTGCGGTGGTAGTTCGCCACAGACGGTCTCGCAAGGTAATGAGGAGCGACAGAGTGGCCGAACAAACGCTAGGGTAGGATGACACGGAAAATCCTCGGACGAAGACCGTTAACATAAATTTACAACAGTAAAAGAATCATAAAGGACTCTGTGGTCCTGCTTAAATGGCTACAGCACAAATTCGGGCCGCAAAACAAAGGAAGAAACATGTGCCCACTACTAGGAAGAGGATAACCGCAACAGGACGCTCGCCTCAATATAATACATAGAGTCGTTCTGCATGCTTCACCCTCCCCGAGCAAAACTCTGGAAACTGCTAAGCGTACATCACTCCATCGCTTCTATCTAACTAGTAAAAATACGTCGCACGTCGATGTAAAATGTGATGTATCAAATTCAGTATAAGAGCCTTATTCAGGTGCCAAACCACATGGTCCCTCAGAGATTTCACAAGACCAGACAAGTACCTCGAGCAATTGTGGAGATGCTCTAACACAAATTTGCACGAGAACGTAACATTCATGCTCGCGCTAATACGCCTAGTGAAACTATAATATCACGTAAAATCTAATTCTGAAGAGATATTAGCGAAATGGTGTGGAAGAGGCGAGAGTGGACAAGCCGCACTTTCGCAACATGGTCCTTGCCCAAGGAAGAAGTCAATGTCAGCCGAGAGCAACACCTTTCAGCTCGTAAAAATAGGTCTAAGCAGCCCCAAATGTTCCCGGCAAGCCAAGCAACTGACTCGTGCGGTGCATATGCTTCCCCGATGCGCTACCTCTTTATCGTAATCGCTGCCTTCAACGTACAAAATGCGAGTTGAAGATTCAGTTAGCCTTTTCCTTTTAAAAGCTCAAAATTGTTGCTGTGTATAGGCGCCCTTTTTTGAGACACCCTGTGTACCATGTACCATAGTGTACCATGAGTCCAGGAACGATCCTGTTATCACATCCTTCGGTTGTGGATAGTGAATCTTTGTAAACCTGGTAGGCATACCCATGAAGTGTTTTAGCTAGTAGTTTTTCAGTTTAGTAGTTTTTCTTTCAGTAAAAAGGTTATGGCTCGTTCCGCATACCTGTTCACCTGCACTTCTTCAAAACGGTGCTTGTCAGACACGATAAATCCATTGATGTCACGCCATTGCGCAACGACGTCTTCCTTGGTTTTGCTGGAATTCAATAAGACGTGGTTTGGGATAGTGAGTTGAGAAATTGAACAGTATTGTTTATCAGATATTTGTAGGATAAAATAATTAAACAAAAGAGTAGAAATTTCGCTTACTCATTTTTTATGAGAAGATCGATTGTAATGTTTTTGTTGAGATCCAGATTCGTCTTTCCAACAGTACTTTCGACAAGCGCGTCAAACAGGTGCAGTATCGTTGGCCTATATGATGAAGGAATTGGTTCTCCGGAGCATTCTGAGGTCTATTTCAATATCACTTTATTTTGGACAGAAGCTCGATGACAGCTCGACGAAGTAAGGAACCTAATACATGTTTTTTTTGGAATTCTGCCATTGCATGCTATGTCGACCAGCATCAGTACATTACTATCTACAAATCGCACATACCTACCCTTTATGACAGCAGTTCTGTTAAAACACTTGGTGTTGAACAGTCACTTCATTCTTTGCTAAAAGTCGTACATCCCACATTCCAATCAGAATCTTTAGCCTGCTTTTGGGCGCATTGTGTGATAGATTTTCTAATCACTGCTACTCCCCTCTGAGTTTCCTCCATATAGAATTTGTTGAAGATGCAGACAGAGACAATCGTTTTCTGATCAAGGGTCTTCTTGCATGCTACATCGACTGATTATAAAGACTGTTACCCTGTATTTCAGAAAACCAGAAGTGCATAGAGTGCAGACCACGCACTACAAATGACGACAGCTTCAACAAATGTAATGTTTTCTGCCAATCAGCCTGTTGCAGTTGTATTCTATCAGTTGTCACTAATTACAACTATCATTTACCAACTATCAGCTATCACTATGAATCCACTAGTTAACCAGATTTACTTGGAGGCCGTCGTCACTTGTGGTGTGTGGTCTGCACTTGACGCGCTTCCGGTTTTTTGAAACTTAGGATGAATAAAACAAGTATCCTATGTGCTGTACTGTATTCAAGCTTTACCAAGTAAAATCGTATCCGCTTGTCTTATCTCAGACTTATGAAAGTGAGCTTCTCAAAAAAACCGAGAAAATGAGCTTTACCTGCCCTGGTGATCGGCGAACACCGTCTCGAATAAGGTTGGTGCCGTGGTATCGATAATATGTGGAACGCTTTTAGTGATCTGAATGAGAAATCTAGAAATCGTTTTGAAATTCCACTGAATTATTAAGGCTGCTAATATTTGAAGGATCTGAGGTAGCAGTTAAGATATCCACTTACCCGATATACTCGCGACTCCTTTCTCGAGTTCGACGCTTCCTCAATCCATATCGTATGGTTTTTGTAGCTATCATCGACCTCTCCAAGAACGCAGTACGCCTGACAATGACAGTCGCTTAGATAGTGGAATGTTAACTCACAAACAGCTTAGAGAACTCTACGATTTTTTGATTGATAACAAGACGAGGAAGTGCAGAGTTTCTCATCCATTTTCACTGGCTTTTCAGCATAGGTGCTCTCAATTGTTCTTTTTT